GGGCGCCATACCCATGGGCCCGCATGGGCGGGACCCCCATCCGCACGCGCAGGATGCTCCCAGCAGCAGCTGCACCAGCCCTGAGACCACCACAGCTCCTGAGACCTGCAGGAAGAACGGATGGGACACGGGAGACAGGAGGTGGTAAGAGAAGCCCAACGCCTCCCCTTGCACACCCTGTGCCTTGTGCCCCAGCCTTGCTCCACTCGCCCCATGTGCCAGGGAAGGCCTGAGCACACCCATGTGCATCCCTGTGCTTCCCTATCGCCTGCAGCCCCAGGACAGCTGAGGGAGGCCGGGCACAGGTGGCAACCGGGGGTGCTGGTGGGGTGGGAGGACGGGAGCTCGGAGCAGAGCACAGGGCACCAACCTCGCGCAGCGACGCGACCTGGCTCCCTGCAGCACCACACTGAGGTGCAGGGCACCCGCTGGCTGCCACGGTGCCTGCAAGGGAAGGTTGGAGAGGGGGAGACAGGCAGGCAGGGGCTCCCTGATCCCGCCTGGCAGAGCTCCAGTGGGTCCCAGCTGCAGAAGGGCCAGCGTGCCAGGGCCAGCATCCCAGCATGGCACAGGGGAGCTGTGTCAGCTCCTGGGCTGTCCCTGGGAGCAGCAGCTAGGGATTAGAGGCTCAGTACCACACCTGACCTGGGCCAGATAACAAGCTGGTTCAGGAAATTTTTATCCTCAGGGTCATGAGTGCTTGGGCCACATCCTCCTGGTACCACAGCACCTGCATGCTTCCCTTGGCAGGGTCTCTGGCAGGGCTGCAAAATCAGGTACAGAACGCAGGGTGCTGGGATGGGCCTGGTCCAGTCTCAAGTCCTATCCCCAAGAGATGGCTGCTGTGGCCACCAGCCCTACACTCATGACCCTGGGTACATTGAGAGTGTGGTCAGGGGCCAGTAAGTGCCCCAGATGCTCCATCACTAGAAGAGTCAAGAAGCAGGAGCCATTTCTACCCCCGTCTGGATGCTCCAGGCTCACAGCACCTTGTCACCTGATGCCAGCATGGCTTAGGGCCCTGTGGGGCACTGGGGAGAGCTCCAGGGCTGTGCTCACCATTCCTATCTGTGCTGGCAGCGAGGGACAGGTGGGAGCTCAGCACCATGGCAGGGACCAGGTATTCGAACGATGGGATTTGAACCAGCGGCAGCCTGGGGACAGGAGGACAACAAGGATGCATTAGGGAGGAAAGGGGATGTGGCTCCTCTGAGACAGGGAAGGGGCAGTGATAGAGGAGGCAGGAACCTCAACGTGACAGCTGAAATGCCAAACATGTCCTAGTACATCCCAAGTAGCAACACAAGGGATATTCCCAGAGATCAGGGGCTTGGTCATGCTTGGCACATGCCCAGCTTGTACCTTGGTGCTGTGTACGGTAGCATCCAGTAGGCACTGAATGAACTGGAGAGGGCCTGGAGCAAGGGGTGAGGAGCAAAGGGGAGGACACAGCAGTTCTGCCGGAGGCAGGTGTACGAGAAGGATATAGTGATGACCTGGCGGGCACAGCGCACGCAGAGGTTGTCATAGGAAGTTGAGGATTGCCATAGGAAACCAGCATCTCCAGGGGCACCTCATGGCCCAGCAGCATCCTTGCTCCCAGGCCTTATGCCCCTTCCCTGCTCCCACAAAACCTATCTGCCCCATCCTAACAGAGGGGCAGAGACCCGTGGCCCCACTGGTGATGGCTGTGTCCTTTGTCCCCCTTGCTCACCGGCTCCCCAGGCAGGTCTGCAGGATGGTGGAGATGCCACAGGCGAAGAGGCTGCGCGCCAGCAGCTCGCCCGCTGCCTGGGGCTGCTCCTCGGGCAGGCTCGGGAGCAGGAGCAGGTGGAAGATGCAGAGCAGGGAGGCCTGCACGGCGAGGTGCTGCGCGGGGAGGGAGGGGACGCACCGCAGGGCCCGGAGCTGCAGCCCCTGGCCCCTGGGAGGATGCACGTTCCCAGGCCCCCGCGCAGAGCCTGCCCCTGCCCAGCCGTGCCACCCTCTCCCCACCCTGGCCAGAGCCCCAAGAGCCCTTTGCATGGCAGGAGGCAGCCCTGGCACTGCTGCCTGCGAGGATCGCAGCCCTCTCCCCACCACTCCACTGTCCACCACGATCCCCCCTTACCTGCAGGGCCAAGCAGCAGCTCAGCACACAGGAGCACATCTTCTGCAAGGAGCACGAGGTGAGCGAAGGGCTCCCAGCACCAGGTGCTCTGTGGCAGCCCCCATTCATGCTGCTGCCCCCCGTGTCACTCCTGGCTTGTGGTGCAGAGCAGGCGGGCTCCCCCCACACCCTGAGGGCCTAGCACAGCCTGCACGTGGCTGAACTTCCACCTTCTCCAGGAGCTGCCCTGGCGTTAGCCATTAACCTGAGTTGGTGAGTAACCTGCCCTTGCAGCTGGGAATAAAAGTGCCGCTCTGGACCCTCTGGACCAGGATGACAGCCAGCTGGGGCCAGGACCCCAGGCATCATTGCAGTGACAAGGCCTGAAGCCCAGGCCCCTGCATCCCTTCTTGCATGGCGCCAGGTTCTGGATGCAGCATAGACGCCACCTCCTTCACCCTCTGGACGCGTCTTCACCACCAGCATCTCCTGGTGCAGCCTCTTGCTCACATGTGTTTGTCCCTCCCAGGCACAGCAGCGCCTCTGCCCCACTGGCTCCACTCACTCCTGGCAAACAGCCCCTGAGGATCCCATCAAAGCCACATCGTGCCCCGGCAGCTGCTGCCAGCCCCTTCTGCAGACACAATCCCCACTCCAGGCTGGTCACCACTCGGAGTCCCTCCGAGCCCCCCACACCTTGTGTGGGGTTCCCGGGAGCCCAGCCTCCTCCTAGGAGCAGGGAACCAAGCCCTGCCTGCAGGTACCATGTGGGCACCGGCTGCCAAGGGACACGAGCTGCTGCTCCGGTGGGAAGGCTCCCATGGGAGCACAGGAGGGGATGCCCATGTTTTGTCACAGGGCAGCACTGGCAGCGACCGCAAGGGTGACCCTGCAAAGCCCTCACTGCTCATTAACTGGACGGCCAGCAGAGAGCAAAGAGCACTGGAGATCATGCATTCCCTGCATTCCCAAGGACAGGAAGCCCTCCTGTGTCCCACTGCCTCCCCGCAGGCCCAGCCCCAAGGCACCTTGTCACCTGCCACCAAAATCCAGTCCCACAGCACTGCAGGACCGCAGGTCCAGCAACGGGGCCCCAGACAGCCTCAGGATGCAGGTGCTGCCCCAGCGAGATGCTCAGGAGGAAGGAGAAGACAGGTGCACAGCAAGAACTACTTTTATTGGAAGAGATTTGCATCTACAAAAGAGTGAAAAACAGGTGTAAAACCCAGAGTAAAAAGAAGGGGCACAATGAACAGCTGGTCAGCAGGACAAGCTGCCTTCTCCCCGCCCCAAGGAGCAGTCAGGCACCATTGCCCATAGCCCCAGGTGGCTGGGATTTGGGATGGGGTCACAGAATACCCCGCTTTCAAAGAGCCCAACGGAGGCAGTACAAGAAAACACACCCCTAAGCACACCTCGTCCCCCCAACCTGCTCAGGACGCATCCTATTCTCAGGATGCACAGACACACTGGGGTCCCCTCAGTGCAATTCTTGCCTCTCCTAAGGGACCTGGCAGTCCCCAAAGGAGAACTGCTGCTGGGCAGGGCAGCAGGGGCTGCTCCCACTTTCCTCCTGTCCCCTCACCTAGGCACCCTGTCCCCAGAGCTCCCTGCCTCCCCCTGGCATCTCCACTCTGCACACACAACCCCAGCATCCTACATTCCCCATACCACCTCAGTTACAGGCCATGCGCCCGCAGCATGAGGCATGACTCCGTTAGCCTCGTGTCCCAGTCCAAGGGGACCCCGCTCCTGCTCTCCAGACAGTCTCAGCCCTTGTCTCAGCACCCCAGCATCTTCGCCCAGCAACCCCAGTGCTCTGCAGCACCCCAAGTGTAAGAAACCTCTGCCCCGGAGCAGGCGTAGAGACGACGACAACACACAAATGCTGGTTTGGAAGTAACACAGGGGCCCCCAGCCCTGTGCAGCCCCAGGGATCAAGGGTCCCAGAAGTGCAAGGAAGTGAGTTGTGCCACACTGGAAGGGGAGGGGAAGGGGCTACCCCATGCTCCTAGCTGGGAAAAATGAAGCTCTTGATTCTGCTGAGATCCAGAGCCATGTGCAGGGAGCACTGCCTCAGCCCCAGGGGGTCCAGCCAGTCCTTGCGCGTGGCAGCCGCATCCCAGGCGAGCTCTGCGCCGGCAGAGCAGGCACGGCAGTGCAGCAGCGGGGGAGCTGGCAGCACAGCGAGTCCAGAGGGGCCAGGCTGGCTAGGGATCATGGCAGCGACTGTACGGTTGGATCTCTCACACGAACTGGGCACTCTCCGGATGGGACCTTGCAGGGGACTCCTGTGTGGGGCAGGACCGGGTGCTTCGGCGTAGGACAGAGCCGTCATCACACTGCCCCACAGGTAGAGCGCGCTCGCTGTGATGCCCCCACGATGCTGCTCATCAGCTGTCTCGTTCTTCCCCACGCAGCGGGCGCTGCTTCCCGGGGGGACAGCAGGCAGCTCAGGCTGGCTCGGAGCAGGGCCCGGGGGCAGCGGGGCATCCAGCTGTTTTTTTTTGAAGCCGGTCAGGTACACGATGCCAAGCAGCCAGGCCAGCTGCAGGGGGACAGGCCGTTAGCGCCGAGCCACGAGCGCCCCCGCAACCCGGCTCTGCCCGAGGGCCTCCTGCGTGCGCCCGCGCAGCCGTGCGGGGCTCTGCACTTCGGCATGGACTGATCCAGTACCAGGCTGCGCTGCCCGGGACAGCACAGCTGCACAGTTAAGCAAGCATCTTTCTGGCTTCATTTTGCAACAGGGAGTAAACAGGAAGTTTCTCTGGAACTAAAGGGTCCTACCCCCCAAAATCAGGGCCTGCTCACATCTGGGAAGCCTCCCCCTGCTTTAGCAAGAAGCTGCCCCCAGCCTTTACCTTCACCACCTGTTGGTAGAACTGGCCCAGCGCTTGCTGCCACATGGACTGCTCCAGGAGGACACAAAGATCCGTGTAGGTGAACCAGCCACGCCACGTGCCCTGCTTCTCCGCCACACTGCAAGGAAAGTGCTTGGGGATGTGGTACAGACCTTCCCTTGCTCTGGGAGTTGAGCCCAGGCTCTGGCATGCTCACAGCAAGAACCTGCCTTAGGCGCTACAGCTGCAGAAGGGAGCTGTGGATCCTAGCAAAGGCCTCAGGTAACCTCAGCTCCTCCTCCTTTGCAGCCAGGTCAGCCCTGAGCAGGGATGGTGCCATCCCTCTGGGGCTCTAGGACTGACAAACAGGACCCCCAAACACCTACCGTCCTTCCAGCCAGCTCAACACTTCAAACAGCTCCCGGGGGTCTGTGTAAAGACTCCAGTCCTGTGGGGACAACAGTGACACATGAGCCATGGTGGGTCACTGGTCAAGGCTGCCCAGTGCCCTCAAGTATGAGAAACAGTTGTGCACATCCTTCTCCAGGGGACTACAGTCTCCAGTCACAGGACTACAGGGGAAAAAAGAAACCCAAAGCTCCCCTTAAACTCCTGCTTTTCATCTCTGTGAAGCTAAGCAGACACAGCAGCAGTCTCACTTACAACGGCGCTCAGAAAGTTCATCTCCAGCGTGTTCACTGTCTGGACATCTACCTTCCCTGCTGCTCCCCACTCGTCGTTGAACACCTCCTCTTCCTCGCCCTCATCATACAGGTACTTACTGGCAACCATCTGGAAGCAACACAGAGGACAGGACTTCAGTTCCCACCTCGCTCCTCCAGGCCTCCCTCCCACGCAGGGGTCTCCCAGGCCTCGCTGCTCACCATGGAGATCAGGAAGAGGTCTGAAGACGAGATCTGCTGGAGGTATTCGGGGTTTCGATGTCGGAGTCGCTCAATATAAACCAGTGCCAGCATCATGGAGCAGGGCGAGATGCAGGCTTCCCTGTGATGACGAGGCAAGAGCCAACCTAAAGGTTACTCATGTGCTGCAAAGGGCCCGGCCACCACAGCACAGCCTGGCTGCTCCCTCCCCACATAGGCAGTGGGGAAGTACAGCAAACATACAGCTATGCCCACATGGACAGGATGCGTCCCCAGAGCCTAACACCTCGAGAGCTGCCCTGAGAGGCTGCAGCACAAGAAAGAGCAGATGATAGAGAGCACAGAGCTCCTTTCTCTGGGCACAGCCAGTTCTTAACTGAACAGTCGTGCCTGCAGCCAGGCACACTGCAAGGGCGCAGCAGAGCTAGTGTTGAGACCTGACTGCAGGGCGAGTGCTGCACAGCTGCAGATCTCCCCACAGCAAAAGCATCCCTACATCCCAGGCGAGGGAGGGAAAACAAGCCAAAGCCAACCCGGCTGTGTCAGGAAGACACTGCGGCCTTGCCACAAATGCCAACTCCCCCGACACTAGCGAGGCCTAAGTACAAAGGCAGCGTTAGCTTGGGAGACAAAACTGAGTCCAAGGCAGGACCGCAGGCTGCCAGCTCTGACAGTGTTAACAAGGGGACAGATTTTGTTCCTCACCGAGAAACATGAGCCACATATTTCTTCTGGAGTCTGCGGATGGGGCTGGGAGCCACTTTCTGGAGCAATTCCACAGCAATATCTAGGATAAAATATCAGAAAAAGGAGTTAGTCCTATGTGGTACAGTCCATACCCACAGTCAGGTGCCATCTTTCGCCTTTTCCCCACAAGTCCACGGAAAGTTGGCTTTTACTCTGACAGGTCCTCAGGAATCATTTAAACTACAGGGTAAGACCTGCTCCCTCCAGCCATTCTCCTCCTCCTCCAGGAAGGAGTGCTGGCCTAGCTTCCCTTCCCTACTGGTGTCCCCAGGATGACAAAGGACAAGGTATTTACTCTAGCAGAAGTCCAAAGGGACAAACAAGACATGGAAGCTGCAATATGCTGCAACTGTGCACGCAGTTGTCTCTGCCAAGCTTTGGCAGTGTCAGAGCTCACTCCAACCAGGACAACTGATTTAGGCAATCGAAGAGCTCTCCTTTTTCTACAGGGCTCTATAAATACCAGTTAATTACAGCTGAAGCCCGCACCAGCAAAATAGGCTCCTAAAAAGAGCTTGCTGTCAGCTTTGCTGTTGAGTCCTTGTTTTAAAAGACTGGGAATGGAGCTCATTCCAGCAGCCTCACGCTCCCACCACGCAGGAAGCGGGGCTTGACAATCTCTCCAGCACCCAGCAGAAAAGCTACAGCCTCACAGACACTCCTGCACCCAGACAATTCCCACCAGCAATCACCATACGCAGGAACACACGGCTAGAAGAGATCTCAGGTCATCCTGGCCACACCAGCACCACAGCCCCAAGGGACAGAAAAGAACCCGAGCCTCCCCAAGGCCATTCCATTCCTCCCTCCCAGGAGCTGCAGCCCAGGCTGTTGCTGTAACTCTCCCATGCACGAGATCACACGTCTCCCAGACAGACTTTGCCACCTTTCTCAGCTGGGAGGTTTGCCCTGGCATCAAACCTATTTTTCAGCTCATAAATCCAACCCACACCAACACACCCTGCCACAAAGGGCAGGGAGAGCAGCTGATCACTGCCCCCATCTTACACCACAACATGCTGAGGGGCATTACAATTTCTCCTTTCAAGACAGAACAAATCCTTTTCTTTCAGCCTCTTTCCCCTCACCCTGCCCAGCACTGCATTCTGTCACTTCTCTCTGAGACCTTCTCTAGCTCTTGTCATGATCCTGCATTCTCTCCTCACACTTGTCTGGGCTGTTTAAAAAGCAATGCCATAAGCTCGTCATGGAGCAGCAGAACAGTTGCAACAAAACAGATCCTGCAGCCCCTGCTCTCTTCTCTGAGGGGGAATGATTGCAGATGGCAAAGGAAGCCTGCAGGGACAGACAAGCTTGCAGCGATACTCAAAGCACGTCCCCAGCAACTGCGGCCGAGACACTTCCTGGTTGGAAGAAGTCTTTAACAGCCCTCAGTAGATTCACCTCCCAGGAATGTGCCCTTTGAGCTTTCAGCGCCGCAGCCTCTCATGGAGAACTCGCATCTTGCATCAGGGGGGAGTCACCCTGAAAGGAGTCACCTCCCTCTTGAATCATCACCTTGAGCACCTGAGATCTCCAGCAGCACCCAGGCAGCTGGTACCCTGTGTGTCCCTTCACTGTCCCCACTCGTCCTGTGCCTCCCCCCACAGCAAGATACTTCAGATTCAACCTCTTGGTGATTTCACACTATTTCCCCAAGCTTACGATGAGGGTTTTGAATACCAACATCCTTCACCCCACAATGTCCCCTGAGAACTGTGCAACCCTGTGGAAACGTGGGACCCTGCGTGAAGGTCCTTTAGCACGTTATTGCTCAGTCGCAACAGTTTCAGTGTTACCACCTGCACCATCTCCAGAGCCTTGACACCGCAGAGCCCTTCTGCTTTCCCAAGTGCCACTGGATCAATAGGAAAAAAAAAAAAAAACGGATGTGATCCAGACAAATACACTGGGCACCTCTTACCCCTTTGGCGTTCAGAAGTTTAATAACTCCCCCAACATTTTGCAGAGCACAAGAAGTTGCCTAAGACAGCTCCCAGCAGGGACACAGCCTTTCTGCCAAGGGATTTGTAAGCAAAACAAAGGGCTCTGCACAGCAGCTAGGTGCCAAAAATGCCTGACAGGACAGGCTGGGCAACAACACAGAGAGCAGGAGGCACGAGGCGCCGGCACGCCGCCCGCTGCGCCGCGGGGCGGGCGAGGGGGCTGGCAGCGGCGAGGCGGCAGGTGACTTGCTGCTCCCGTCCCCTGGGCTCTTTCCAGCCCCCCTGACTCAGCACTGCGGCGCGGGCACACGCAGCACCCCCCTGCCACGGGGCTAGAGAGGTTGTCCAGGCTGCACTCCTTGTCCCAGCCGTAGTAGAGCCGCTTCCGCACCCGCTCGCTCAGCTGCTGGGGGCGCGGCCG